CATTCTTTGGGATTGCCTTTCTTTGGGATTGGAATGAAAACTGACCGTTTCCAGTCTTGTGGCCACTGCTGAGTTTTACAAATTTGCTGACATTGAGTGCAGCACTTTAACAGCATCATCTTTTAGGATTTGAAATAGCTCAACTGGAATTCCATCACCTCCACTAGCTTTGTTCGTAGTGATGCTTCCTAAGGTCCACGTGATTTCACATTCCAGGATGTCTGGCTCTAGGTGAGTGATAACACCATTGTGATTATCTGGGTCGTGAAGATCTTTTTTGTGTAATTCTTCTGTGTATTCTTGCCACCTCTTCTTAATACCATCTGTTTCTGTTAGGTCCATACCATTTCTGTCCTTTACTGAGCCCATCTTTGCATGAAATGTTCCCTTGGTATCTCTAATTTTCTTGAAGAGATCTCTAGTCTTTCCCATTCTATTGTTTTCCTCTATTTCTTTGCATTGATCGCTGAGGAAGGCTTTCTTATCTCTCCTGGCTGTTCTTTGGAACTCTGCATTCAAATGGGTATATCTTTCCTTTTCTCCTTCGCTTTTCGCTTCTCTTCTTTTCACAGCTATTTGTAAGGCCTCATTTCTTTTTAGATTCTGCACAGAAGGGATCTCATACAATGTTTCTCATTCTTTGTCTGATTTATTTTATCTTATGAAGATCTTTTCTAAGAGACTGCTAGCAGGTCTCCCCTCACATGTTATTGATCAGAAATTGCAACACGTATCCAGCCCTAAAACAACTGCTGGTAAAGGGAACAGAATTATCTTGATTGGCTCACGCTAATTAAAATTCATAGCATTGATTGGGGAAAAGACACCCCCTGGGTTGAAGAACATGGCCCCCACAGAGCTGAACAAAACTGGGTTTTGTGTCATGGAGGAATTAAAAAATGGCTTTGTCTGGGCACTATAGTTCCTGCCAAAGTCACTTGACATTAGGCTATACAAAGCCTGGCTCTCCCAGAATCCTGAGCTAGTCCTGGAAAGTAACAGGAAAGATGAGAACCTTCACTTCCCACAGATATATCATATAATGGCCACCATTCATTTCTACACACCTCCTTCTTGACCTTCTAACACCTCTTCCCTTATCCTCAAGTTCAGCCAACGACCTTGCTGAGGACACACGAGCAGTGAAATTCCGCATACTTCCACCAACATCTACTCACCAGCTTACATCAGCGCCTATGTGTTCTGCCTTTCCTCCCGTGTCATGTATAGCCCATTCTTGGTCCCAGCTAAGGCCAGCGCCTTTACTTATACGCTGCATCTCAAGAACATCATGTGGCAAATTTGTCTCCTGCATCACTTGATTTTCCTCTCTCCACTAAATCATTCCCATCCATAAACAACATGCTCCCAACCTTAAGACATCCTCCTTGATTGCACATCCTTCTGCCACTATGAATGCATTTCCCTATTTTTCTTTCTCTCAGAATCTCTCAACAGAGATATCTGTAGCCATGGCTCCAGTTCCTCTCTTCCCACTCTTGAACTCCTCACGTAAGCAGGCTGCCACTTACCACACCACTAAAACTGTTCCTCTCATGGTAACTAAAGACATTCCTTGACTAAATCCCATGATCAGTTCTCAGTTCTCATCTTACTGAATAAGCTATCAGTGTTTGACATAATTGATTTATTCTTTCTACCAGTAACACAATCAGTTATTTGGCTCCCAGGACACCATACGTGCCTGGTTCTTCTCCTTTTGCACCAGTTGATCCTTCTCAGTCACATTTGCAACTCCTTTTCCTTTCTAGATGTTCTGGTGTCCCAGAGCTCAATCCTTGGACTCCTCCTCTTTTGTACGTATATTCACACCCTTGGTGCTTTTACCAGTCTTATGGCATTAACTACCATAGATAATGCTGATGATTCTCAAGATGTGTTTGCAGCCTGGAAATCCCCTGGATTCTAGACTCAATTGCCTACTTGACACCCCAATTTGAATGTCTATGCGTGTGTGAGCGCTAAGTCGCTTCAGTCGTGTCTGACTCTTTGTGACCCTATGGACCGTAGCCTGCCCGGCTCCTCTGTCCATGGGATTCTCCAGGCAAGAATACTGGAGTGGGTTGTCATGCTCTTCTACAGGAGAGGAGAATCCTCCAAGGATTGAACCTGCATCTCTTATGTCTCCTGCACTGGCAGGTGGGTTCTTTACCATTCATGCCACCCATAAGACATTTCAAATTTTACAAGATTATACCAGTTAACTGTTATTCATCAGAAACCCTAAAGCTTAGTGGCAGTTTGGACTGGACCAATGGATCATTCGTGAGACTCAAGTGCTCTGGATGTTTCACCGGGACTGGATGGTTTAAGATACCCTCACTTATGTGTCTGGCCATTATTTGGAGCTCTTGGTTGTCCTCCCCATGCCTCTCCAGCAGGGCAGCCTGGGCTTCTTACATGTCTGAGACAGTCTTTGAAGAGGGCAAGCTCTAGTGTACAAACCTCCATGCATGACTCATCTGGACTATTGAGGCAATAGTCTCTCACAATGTCCAAAACAAAACTCATAGCATTTACTCAAAAGGGCAATTTCATCCAGGCCCCAAATCTCACAGACGTTCTAGAACTCCTCCCTTATTTTCACACTCCTCATGGGATCCATCATCAAAATTCTGTCAGCTTCTCCTTAAAAAAATATATCCTGAATCCAACGCACTTCTCACCACCTCCTTTCTACCACTGGGTCAAGGCTAGTACCACCTCTCATCCGAACTACTGCACTGGACTTTTACTGGTTTCCCTGCTGCCACTCTGACCCCACTGGTTTATTTTCAACCCATCAGCCCAAGCACTGCTATTAAAATCTTAATCAGATGTATCACCCCTCTCCATAAAACTCTCCCAAGTTTTTACAAGGGTCAACAAGTCCCTACATGACTGCACTGCCTGCTACCACTGTGCCCTCCTGCACACAAGTACCTCTACCTCTCTGACCTCATTTCCAACTCTTCTCCCATCCCCATTTAAATGCAGCCACACCAGCCTCTTAGATGCGTCTCCACCACACCTGGTGCACTCTGGCCTCAAGGCCTTTGCACTCACCGTCCCCCCACCCAGAATATTCTTCCCTCAGACATCCACAGGCTGGGCTCTTTAACCTCCTTCAGTGCTATATTTTCACATCACTTTCCAGGAGGATTGGTTGTTCAATTTAAAATTGCAATCCCACCTTCCATCTCCCCACTCCAGCACTCTTATCCCCTCCCTGGCTTTATTCTTTCCACAGACCTTTTCATCATCTGACATCCTATTTTACTTACTTGTTTCTCATCTCTCTCTTCCTCCCAGAAGGTTAACTCCATGAGACTGGAATCTTGTTGTTGTCTGTTTTGTTTCCCCAGCATCTGGAACAGAGCCTGGGATTTAGTAGGTGTCTAATCATATTTGTTAAATGACTGAATTCACTGAGCATTTACTATATGCTATAGATTGCAGCAGGCTTCAGCAATATATGAACTGAGAACTTCCAGATGTTCAAGCTGGTTTTAGAAAAGGCAGAGGGACCAGAGATCAAATTGCCAATATCCGCTGGATCATCAAAAAGCAAGAGAGTACCAGAAAAACATCTATTTCTGCTTTATTGACTATGCCAAAGCCTTCGACTGTGTGGATAACAATAAACTGTGGAAAATTCTGAACGAGATGGGAATACCAGGCCACCTGACCTGCCTCTTGAGAAACCTGTATGCAGGTCAGGAAGCAACAGTTAGAACTGGACATGGAACAACAGACTGGTTCCAAATAGGAAAAGGAGTACATCAAGGCTGTATATTGTTACCCTGCTTATTTAACTTATATGCAGAGTACATCATGAGAAATGCTGGGCTAGAAGAAGCACAAGCTGGAATCAAGATTGCCAGGAGAAATATCAATAACCTCAGATATGCAGATGGCAGAAAGTGAAGAAGAAATAAAAAGCTTCTTGATGAAAGTGAAAGAGGAGAGTGAAAAAGTTGGCTTAAACCTTAACATTCAGAAAACTAAGATCATGGCATCTGGTCCCATCACTTCATGGGAAATAGATGGGGAAACAGTGGAAACAGTGTCTGACTTTATTTTTGGGGTCTCCCAAATCACTGCAGATGGTGATTGCAGCCATGAAATTAAAAGATGCTTACTCCTTGGAAGGAAAGTTATGACCAACCTAGATAGCATATTAAAAAGCAGAGACATTACTTTGCCAACAAAGGTCCATCTAGTCAAATCTATGGTTTTTCCAGTGGTCATGTATGGATGTGAGTGTTGGACTGTGAAGAAAGCTGAGCACCGAAAATTGATGCTTTTGAACTATGGTGTTGGAGAAGACTCTTGAGAGTCCCTTGGACTGCAAGGAGATCCAACCAGTCCATCCTAAAGGATGGGTGTTCATTGGAAGGACTGATGCTGAAGCTGAAACTCCAATACTTTGCCCACCTGATGCAAAGAGCTGACTCATTTGAAAAGACCCTGATGCCAGGAAAGATTGAAGGCAGGAGGAGAAGGGGACGACAGAGGATGAGATGGCTGGATGGCATCACCGACTTGGGCATGAGTTTGAGTAAACTTCGGGAGCTGGTGATGGACAGGGAGGCCTGGTGTGCTGCGGTTCATGGGGTCGCAAAGAGTTGGACATGACTGAGCGACTGAACTGAACTGAACAGATCGCAGCCAGCGTCTTACCCCTGAACACTGTGCTGACCCTGTGAACGAAGCATGACAAGAGCTCCTCACAGGAGCTATTCCTGTGAGGAGTAGGTTCCTCCTCCTCACAGGAAGCAGGTGCTATTATCTCCATTTTGCAGATGAGGAAACTTTTTTCTTGCATTTTCTTACAGATCAGAAGTGGGGGGGCTGGCAGTTCTCTGTGGGGTGAGCCTTCCACCCGCCTTGCTGGAGTCCCATGGCTATTCTCAATCTGCAGTGCATACGGGAAAAAGAAGGAAGAAAAGAAGGAAACGGAGGAAGAGGAGAACAAGAAAGCATCCAGAGAGAAAGGGATGAAGGAGGTGGTGGACGTGGTGGGGTCCAGAGCCGTCCAACTGCCTCTGGCCTGGACAGTAGGACCCGGGACCACCGGGGAAGACCCACAGGAGGAGGACTCCTGCATGCTCCCTTCCACGTCCGCAGCTCATGGTGCTTCTTTAAAGCTGCCAACGAGATCTGTCCTGGTTTTCCTTCATGGTAAGGACTGCATTCCTAGGTTGAAAACAAGCCTTTTAATAAGCAGCAGTGGCTGAACTTTGAGAACATATCTAACCCACCCCATCTCCGTTCCCAGGAGGCTTTGCTCTTTAGCCTCCCCCTCCCCACAGCGGCCTCAGGCAAGATCAGGCCTCCCTCAGATCTGGGGTGGAGCTTGCAAAGGGTTGTCAGCCCCCACCACCGCACAGACCAGAATGGCTCTGCGGTGGGTGAGGATGAAAGAGAACCTCTGGCTGGCTGACATCTGGCATCCAGGAGTGGGCTGTGGGCTGGGAGAGCCCAGCTGAATTCCACAGGGCGGCCATTGTTGCAACGGAGGCTACTTTGGTCTTGTGACTGATACACACACACACATTAAAAGAAAAAAAAATTTTTTTTTTTTTAAACAATCTAGGACCAAGACAGACGGCTGTGGTTGATAGTGTCTGGAGAAAAACAGCAACTACTGTGTTTGGGTTATCATATGACATCTCACAAAGAAAGGGGCTTTGTTCTATGATTGCTTTCTTTAGTCAATTAAATGTGTAATATCTGCCATGAGGTCCCCGCTGTTTAAGTAGAGATACTGCAGATATATGCCTCAGAGACATGTGTCGTTACTTATTTTAAGGGTCTCTTTCTTTTTTCCTTTTTTTCTTTGTTTCTCGCTCCCTTTCTTTCTTTGTCTCTCTCCCTTTCTTTCTCTTCTGCTTCTTCCTTCATTCCTCTGGCTTCCCTGTTTTTCTTCTTTGGTTCATTCTCTCATTTTCAAGTTCTTTTCTTCCCTTTCTGCTGCTCCCCATTCCCCTTGTCCAAAAATAGAAAATTATAAGCAAAGAAAAGTAGAAAAAGAGGACAAGGGGTCACGGAAGTGGTGTAGAAATCACAAGTGATTATGAAGGAAGCTTGTTAACATCCATGTTTGGTAATTTGTGATGTGAACTAAAAACACATAGGTGGGCTCCTAAACACTGTCAGCTTCACCCAAAGCCTTACTGGAGATGCTGTCCTTCATTGAGTCTCAAGGGCCATGAGGTCTGGACTAGGCAAAACTTGGGAACTCCAGGGAAATGGGCAATGGAAGAGAGTACAGGTGATAGAGGTATATGGCCCTTGCCAGAGGACTTTGTGGATGGAGCTAAAGAGGAAGGCACTTGGGCACAAGTAGAAACAAAAAAGTTGGGACTTCCCTTGTTGCCCAGTGGTTAAGAATCCACCTGCCAATGCAGGGGACACAGGTTCAACCCCATCCAGGAAGATTCCACGTGCCACGGGGCAATTAAGCCCATGTGCTACAACTACTGAAGCCCATGCGCCTAGAGCCAGTGCTCTGGAATGAAATGAGAAGCCCACACACCTTATTTAGACAGTAGCTCCTGCTCACTGCAGCTAGAGATAGTCTATGGACAACAGTCAAGACCCAGCACAGCCAAAAATAAATACATAAAAATTTTTCAAAATCTTAAAAAAAGAAAGGACAGAAAGCATGAAAACAGGAATACACAGCTTTTTTTGTGGGGGGAAGGGTTACACTGCAAGGGGGATCTTAGTTTCCCAACCAGGGATTGAATCTGTGCCCCCTGCATTAGAAGCAGAGAGTCTTAACCACTGGACCACCAGGGAAGTCCATCGAAAACACAGGTTTAAAAGATGTTTTCCAGGTTACCAGTTGCACATGGAAAGTGAGGAGTCTAAAATTAATTCCTACGTTCTGACTTATATGATCATTAGTAGTATCATTAACTGAGGAAATTGATGAGAAAAAGAATAGTTTAGAGGGTAAAATAATGAGCTAAGTTTGGGGCATGTTCAGTCTAAGGTCTGGTGACATCCAGGCAGAACATTTCAAAAGGCAGTTCGCTTCATCGGGATAAAGTTCAGAAAAAAGAACTGGGCTGAAAATTACAATTAGGAAGTTGTCTACCAAGAGAGAAGGAGAGACCATGTGTGGATGGGGAGAACAGGGTCATATAGAGAGTATACAGGGGTAGGGAATTATTCTGACGTTTTCCTCACATCCCATGCCCAATCCATCAGGAAGAGGTGTCAACTCTCCCTTCAAAGTATATCCCAAATTCACCTGGGGCTTCCTTGGTGGGGCAGTGGTAAAGAATCTGCCTGCCGATGCAGGAGACTCAAGAGATGCAGGTTCAAAAAAAAAAGAGAGGCAGGTTCAATCCTTGGGTCCTTGGAGAAGGAAATGGCAAACTACTCCAGTACTCTTGCCTGGAAAATTCCGTGGGCAGAGGAGCCTGGTGGGCTACAGTTCATGGGGTCACAATGAGTGGGACATGACTTAGCGACTAAACAACAAACACTTCTCACCACCTCCCTCTCCCCCACCCTAGACTAAGCCTCTATCATCTGTCACCTGGACCTTGCAATGATCTACTAATTGGTCTCCTTGTGTCTACTTCTCCTTCCCTATAGCCTATTTCCTATACAACAACCAAATTAACCTTTAAAAAATGTAAATTTAATCATGTCACTTTAATGCTGTAAACCTTCCGATAGCTTCTCTTGACACATGGAATAAAACACAAATTTCAGAACTTGCCTGGTGGCCCAGTGGTTAAGACTCTGCCCTTCCAATGCAGGGAGCAAAGCTTCGATACCCTGGTCAGGGAACTAAGATCCCATGTGCCAAATGGCACAGCCAAAAATTCTAAAAGAAAAAAAAAGAAAAAAACCATAAAATTCCCACCCCCCTTGTGATTTGCCTGGGCCTTCTTTCCTGAGCTCACCTTCCACCTTTCTGTCTGTCATGCCACTCTGCTTCTTCCACACTGATTTTTTCTCTCAAATCTGCCACAGGACCTTTGCATTTGTTTGCCTCTCGCCCCGGGCTGCTCTTTCTCTAGATATTTTTACAACCTCCAGTTCTCTGACAAAATTTTCAAGTTTTAATTTTATTTTTTGAGAAAAGTGAGCATGGTTATTCTATTGGCTATGTCAGAGAACTCCAATATCTTAAGGATTTGTGGATCTGTTTTAATCTTCTGCTGATTCTTACTCATATGGTGTTCTTTTCTGGTTATTTCTGGTTACACGTTGGAAATGTCACTTTAAGATAATTGAGGCCCAAGGTGATGGGATCTGAAAGGATTTTCATTTGCTTCTAGAAGCTGCCTGATACTGGTCTCCATCTGTAACCCCTTTAACAGAAGTTCTAGGCTTAAGGTCTCCCCAGCTTCAAGCGCAAAGCCCCCACCTTCTTTCTGAGCCTTGGTGTTTGTCCCCCTCGGCTTTTGAGGCCACCAAAGTCTCAGCTCAGTCCGGCAGATGTTATTGCACATTCACAGGTGTCCTCGGAATAACAATGGCTCTGAGTAGCGGTTGTCTTCTCCTACCTTTCGCCTAGTAATTCCTTGCCACTTTGATAACTCTAATTTTAATACAATTTAAATTAAATACAATTTAAATTTAATAAATTTTGTCCAGGCATTTTAGTTGCCTGTGGGAACTTTGGTCCAGATATCCTGGTCTGACACCAAAAGCGGGGTTCCTTGTTCTCGGACCTCTTCCCTGAGTCAATTCCTCCTTCAGATCTCCATGCAAATATCATTTCTTCAGAGAAGCCTTTCACAGCCACCCCACGGAAAATAGTCATCCCCGTCCCTGAACTCTCTGCTTTATATTCCTTCATAGAACTTATTATCACCTGACATTGGTCACATATGTACCTGCTTACTTGTTTACTGTCTGTCTCTCTTACTGGAATTTATTTACTCATTCATTCAACAAATGTTCATTGAGTACATTCTTTGCGGCAGGCATTACGCTAGGCGTTGAAGCATACACTAGAGGACAAGGCAGACCAGATTCCAGCCCATGGGGAGCTTACATTCTCAGGAGAAAACAGACAATGAACAGAAAAATCAAAGCAATGCAAATTCCCCTGAGGATAGAAAGCAGGCCTGGTTTCTCTAACACTTCAGGGCACAGAACAGTACTTTATGTTAACTGAATACTCGCTACATTAAAAAAAAAAAAATCCTTGTCCCAGTGTTATTTTTCAGTATTATTTAATCCCTGGTGTTTCAACTGTATTGTTGGTTGGCTGCTTTTTCCCTCTTAAATATGTAGCATTTGAAGCATATAAAGGGTTAAATAGACTTGTGTGTTAGCCTGGAAATATAATCACCATTTATTATTTTATTCTTATAGGGAAATATGTTCTGAGTTTCAAATAATTAACTTCCAAGTGAACTTTTGGAAACTGTCAGCTGGGCTCATATATATTTGGGTGAGATTTGCCAATGTCTTTGCACTCTTTTATAGAAACAGGCTACATGCCAGACAGATCAGGCCAAACAGCCTGGGTGATCAGTGGAATAACAGATGTCTCAGAAAGAGCACCCCCACATCCAGAAGGCTCTGTTCTGCTCTAAGCTCATGGTCCGTCTCATTCTTCGAATCTTAGATCTCTGGTGACACACCTTCCCGTGTAAGAGACAGAGGCTCTATGATCAAACTAACATCGTTTTTTTACACCAGAGAGGCCAAGCCAAATTCTTTAGAGTCTTCCACCTGGGCAACAGCGTGTTTGAAAGTGGCAGCCAGCCCTGGCAGCCAGCCTGGCTGCCCTGGGACACTGAGAGAATGAGAGAGAGATTGGGGTCAGACAATCTAGCTCAGAGGAATCACTCCAACACAAGTGCCATGGCATTCAGCCTGAGCTCAGAATCTTTGCCTGCCCACAGGCGCTGGGTTATTTCCATTCTTTAGCAAAGGGAGGGAATGCAGACAGAGAAAAGCACAGGCGGTGAGCCAGAACTGAGTGTAAAAGGCCCATCCAAGGCTGTTGTTGGGTTAAAAAAACAACTAGGATTTGCTGAGACTTTTGGAAAGGAGAAATGAAGGGCAATGAAATGCTCAAGGCTTGGGGTGAGAAGGATGCGGGGGCTGCTCTCGAAATGGTCAGGGTTAGGTTTAGGTCAGGACTGGTCTTTTCTGATGGCTCAAAGGGTAAAGAATCCACCTGCAATGCTGGAGACACA